AGTCCGCCCAGAACGCTGCCAAGACAGCCCCGAGACCTCCCAAGAGAGCTCCAAGACGCTCCTCAGGTCTCCGAGAAGGCCCCTCGAGGGGGAATCAATACCCAAATGTGGAACCCTCCTCGAAAAATTGCCCTCCAGACCGCTTCCAAACGGTCCCAGAGGCCCAAGACGGCCCCAGAGAGCTCCAAGAGGACCCGAAAAGAGCCCCAAGAGGCAAAAATCATTGATGCTGTTGTTGTTTTTGAAAGCGATTGGCGTTCCCGCTCGTTCGGGCTCCTGACCGCCCAGGCAAGCCAAGGAGGCCGCGAAGATCGCCGCTAGTTATGCACGGGCCATGCTCGCGCTCGAATTGGGTGGCCTACAAAGGCGAGAGCGCAAGCCAAGTGAAACGATGGGGTTCAACGAGGACGTGGAGGAGAAGGGGGACGACGAGGCGGCACACAAATGTGAAAGCGAGACTGACACACACTGCAGTGGCGGCGGTTGCCCAACTTGCACGCTGCAACGGTAACTCCTCGCCTCGAACGCCTGGATTCCCACGCGGCACGGGCTTTAAACAGAGGCACGTTCAATTCAGAGGCTCAGAATAGCTGTACTTCGCGCGCGGGGCGCCCATGGGAGTCCCTGGACGAACATCATCGACCCACAAACCCAGAAAGGAGTATAGAAATGTGAGGCATGCCCACGTTTTCCAAGGCATCAAGTTAGGGCGACGGACACTTGTAACGCTGAATGTATCGATCTTGATGTACCGTGGCGGAGGCGACGTCGGCCTCTTGCGGGGCCCATCCCCGTCGTACCGCTTCTTGTCTGGCGTTGCTAGAGGGACCCTTGGCCCGAGGTGCCCCCAGCTTTGCGCTCCATTTTGGAGCCCCCTGGGGCCCCCTGGAGGCCGCGGGGGCCTCCCTGGGAATCCTGGGGGCACTTTGGGCCAAGGGCACTTCTAGCAACACCCGATCTTGGGAACCTCACGAGACTCCCCGGGAACTCTTCGGGGAGCCTGGTCCCAGCCTTCCCGAGCACCTCCGGCTGCCACCTTCATCACGGGGGTCCTCTTCCAGGGTCGGCGTCACCGACCGCAAGTCCCTCACTGTCGGCGACGGCGAACCCGCACGCTCCCGATCACGAGACTTATCGGCGATGAATGGGCGATTGGGGGTCGCCGCGTTCTCTCCTGAACCCATCCCCCCGACAAACGTTGCCCCTGATGTGCCCCCTTCCGGCCCCATGCTTCCTCTTGCCCACCGCCTCAAGCAGACGGGCCGAAAGATCACAACGGCCACATATCCGCTACACCCACATCAGTCCTAGGTCGGGCGTGTCCTCCCACAGGCGGGTTCTGGAAGAAAAATATAAAATGAATCTCACCCCCCCCCAAAAAAAAATCGGCACCTGACTATTTTTTGGCAACGCCCGACTTCACACCGGTGACGCGCCCGCTTTCACACCAGTGACACTACGCAGGCGACCTCTGGCGCGCAGCTGAAGGGAGCAGCGGGGGGCCCCCGAGTCCAGGAGAGCGCGCACGCGCCGAAGCTGCGGGGGGGACCCTCTGGGCCAGCACGGGGCCCAGACGCGCGACGTCCTGATGTCTTCCGCACAGGGGCCCCGAAGTCCCGACCCCCTCCCCGGGAGCGGGCCCTCGTCCCGAAAACTTCTCTAACGGTCCGGGGGGGCCCAGCGAGGGCCACCCGGCCCACAGTGGCCAAAGACCTCCCGCCCCGCTCTTCTCGCGACGCGGGCACGCTCGGGAGCGTCCAAAAAGGGGGCGTCCAACAAGGGGGCTCGCAAATCGTGGCCCGAGGCACGCAGGCGGCCCCAGGGGGGGAGGGGCCGAAGACGTCTCGAAAGAGGAGGGGGGCCAGGAGATCTGGGACACATCAGGGCCCAGGCCATGATGTCCACATATCCCCCTGGTCGTCACCCCCCGCTAACACGCGCCCCGAGGATCGTCGAATCTGGAATGCCCGGGGGGTCTTTTGCCTGAATATTCATAATCCTTGCAATATGCTATGTTGGTATATCATGGTCAGTGGGCTTCGCCGATGATATGGGGAAGAAAGGATAATGCCGTCGAGCATGCAATAGGGTAACCCTGAAAGGAGGAAGCTGGCCCGCCGGCCGACGCACGCGCGCGCCGCAGGCTCGCTCCTTTTCTGTTCCCCTAAAGCCAAACAGCTTCAGGTAAAACATCAAAGAAAAAAAGAGAGGCAGACAGTGCAAGCAAGGCTCGAGAGCAGGGCGGGCAGCAGGGCGGTGGTGCGGAAGGAGTGCATTGACTCCCCCCGCGGAGGGATACGTAGAGTCGCCCCGATCCCCAACCCACCTAGCCTGTACACACAGCCACCGGAGCGAACCCCAAAAACATTTTACCGCTCGACGGTGGTTGCTAGGGGGCGGAAGACCGAAGCAACCCGACGAACCCCGCCTGAACTAATATTTTGGCGGCTCAGGCCACAATGCCCATGCACACCTGGTGCACCCGCTTCTTGATGAACTG